TGAGGGTGCGTTGTGAGGAGAGCCTATTCCGTCTTCTTGACACTAAGAACTCTATGAAAATTCGGCGTATATTCAAAATTAAAGCTTTTTTTTAAAGTGAGGAGGAGAGAGTGCATTTAAGATCTAATAACTTGAGGTTTTTTTTGTGTCATCTAGTGACGGGACGAACAAGTCGTGCTCCTGATGGTAAGCTACACGCCTGGTCATAACAGTTGCAGTGCCACTCAGAACTTTAAATCGTAAAGATCCGAGGTGCACTGCCACTGTGCCCGACACCCTGAGACATAAATTAACAAGTCCCATGTGCCTGTAATTTCACCAGCACTCTTCAAAACCGGAACACAGTAATGCTAACTTAATGCTTGGCGGCAGAAATAGATAAGGTGGCAGTACTTCCCTGGACGAACTCTTTCACAAGGAGCTCTACCGCTATGGAGACAGTGCCGAGTAGGGGCGCCAGAGGGCCGCTCGCGAAGACTCCAAAGATATTATAACTTTAAATATTTTATTTTGCCTACTAGTGCCTACTAGATGGCGCCAGGGTATTATTGTTGCACCCGGGCGATACATGGGTTAGCGCCGGCGCTGTGTGTAGAAGATGATTTTTGACAACGCATGCTGTGCAAGGCACTATGTTGACTCTTTTTCTACTAATACTTTTTCTTGTCAACAAATTCTAGCCACTCCATCTTGCGAGTATGTACTAATTTATTATTAATTAATATTATAGTGACTTAATTCAGGAAATTTGGGGTCCTTCATCACTACGACCAGTAGTTAAAATAAAAATCAAGGCCAAAAGTGTTAAAGAACTGAAGGATTCTCCTGGCTTCAACTATTTTGATATTCTCTGGCTGTGGCGTGTGCCTTCCCAGAGTGGGGTTTTGTGCGCCCATCAAACGGTAGCATGGAGTAAGGAGGTGCATAGGACATAACGACACATATAGTTCATAGTAACATAAATAACATACAAAAACTGGTTAAATTTGCTTTTTGACTTCATTACTATCATCATAACATTTCGCTTCTACAGAGAGAGTGAGGGATATTTATACTGGATAGGTCTGTCACTGGACACTCAGGATTGAACATCTCGCACCCTTCATGGAAGAATGGCATAAGTGCAGTTACGTCAAAAACATTTATTGCTCCATTAGATACAGAAAAACATAACCCACATCCTCCTCTCCAATTCTTGTAAGTCTATCGACTAATATTGAAGAAAGGTGCTACAATTCCATTCTTAAATGTGACATGTGTACTGTACCTGGTATAAATTTCAGCTCGATATCTCAATTATTCTGAGTTCTATTGAGATACGAAATTCTGACTTGATTATGTAAAAATCAGAACTATACAACTCTTCAAGGTTGTTGACCTTGACGCCAAAATGGTAAAAATGGGATGGTTGGCACAGACCCTAAGCAAACCACCTCAAAAGTATAAATAATAGTACCAAAAATAGGTGAATAACATATGTATCTCATTTTTCTTTAAATTAAAAAAACCTGAATTGATTAATACTATCAAAAAGTGGCTCTACTAGAATATAGATAATTATGATAATAACCTACAAGTACAGTAACACTGCAAACTCAATGTAAACGATACTATATCATTCTCAAACACATAAAGCATTGAGGCATTTACATATGAAGGTTAAATACAGGAAAAGTGTAAAGTAGTAGGTAATGGAATTAATAAGATTCTACTGTGTAGCTATAACAACCTCTTGACTACTTAACCCATATTTTTTAATTGTGAATATTTAATTAATATTCATTTCATTAATAAATAAATATTCACAATTAAAAATATATATACTTTAATATACAAATGTAAATATAAATAAACAGTTAAAAACTTCATTAATTATTACTTGGTTATTTAGAAGAAGTAAATAAAATAGGTAGTCATATTTTTAAGTAACAAAATTATACTTTACAAACATACATAATTATAAAGATAAATTAAACAAATATATATCACAAAAAATTGCAAGGCTCCAACAATGAAAAGCTTTTTCAAGCGATGGGACCTGTAAAGGGTACAAAACGTTGGTTTGTTTGAAAAAACATATACACGCGATTTTAATCTGGAAAAATAATTTCATTTCCTTTTTTAAGCAACTTTTGTAAATACTGTAGTCAGAATAAAACTAATTTGTCTTTAATCTACAACAAAACAAAGAATGTTATCTTTGTTGCTAACTGTACATTAATATAACTAACTATACTCATATTATTCAACTTCACATTATTCAAGTTCATCTCTTACTATAGTATTAAAGTTTACATGTGTGGGTTGTTAAAGTCATTAAACTTTTGAATCTAAATGCATAACCATAAAGAGATTAATGTGAGTATAAGACGCACATGAGGTATGTCAGGAGAGTGATGGGCAGATGTCCGTACCCCAGTGGGGACAGATATGACGTACAAATTCAATATCTATTTCCAATTAATATCTTTAATTTTTTTTTATTAAAAATTAAGTGCATATTTGACTGCTACCTCAACTGATGGAAAGTGACGATAAAGTCGACGATGGACCATGCACACCTAAATAATGCCTATTCACTCTCGCCTTGAAAAGGTCCAAGTTGTAACGTTCAGGGAAAAAGTCTGCAGGCAGGGAATTCCACTCCATAGCCGTTCGCCATATAAATGTGGAAGCTAAAGTGCCTCATTCGATTTCTTGGAACATCCACAACATACAGCCATGGGCAAAAGTATTGAGTACCCTAAAAATCCCGAATGTGCACAATAAGTATTGCAGAAAACAGGTCCTATTGTTAAGGATTATTTTTTCGGCAACTATAAAGGTTTAAGAACAATGCCCACCACATCGCAACTAGCAATAAAACACCTGGTGCCATAAAATTTGTCATTTTACCATTTTTGTATTTATTTCTCAGTTCACTACTATCGCTCGTTACGTGCACATCCAGTGATCTAGTACACTTTTGGTGTTTTGTTTAGTTACATTTAGTGATATTGTTGCAATATGCCTAAAAGAAACAAACTTAGTTTGGAACAACGTGTGCAAATACAGTTTCTTCATGAACAAGGGAAATCACAGGTAGAGATTTCTAAAACTGAAATGTTCGCGCCGATCTGTGCAATATGCTATTGAGCGATTCGCCTCTACTGGATGTCATAGGAACAGACACAGAACAAGGCGCAATCGCATCACCACGGATCGTGAGGACCAAAAGTTAATGAGAGAGTCGCTAAAAAATCGAAAAAAATCTTCTTCAGACCTCGCTCCTGATCTCTCAGTTGAAATTAAGTGATCAAATTCTGCTTGCACTACTCGAAGAAGGCTTCAAGCAAGTTGGCCTGAAACGCTGTAAAGCCAGGAAGAAACCATGACTCTCACAAAACATCAAGAAGGCTCGGTATGAATAGGCCTTAAAATATCAAAGTGTCACTGAAGAAGATTGGTCAAATATTGTGTGGTCAGACGAGTCAAACTTTGAAGTGAGTTAGGTAATTTCACGTTCTAAAGATATTAAACAATATGATTTGAAAATAAAATTCAATGACAAAAATGTTTTACATTAATTCCGAGGTCTCTATGTTTTTTTAAATTTCATATTTTTGGTACACCTGGTGTGACTTTTGTGCGCCGCCGGGTAGGTGAAGAATTTAGTCTAGCCTGTGTAGTACCAACCGTAAAACACGGCGGAGGTAGCATAATGGTCTGGGGCTGCATAGCTGATTCAAGAGTTGGCGAAATGTTCGTGTGTGAGGGCCGCACGAACTCTTCAAAATACGTTAACGTCCTGGAATCTGAGTTGCCGCCCTTATTTTCAACCCTTTTTGGCGATACAAATATGGATGGCGTTAAATTCCAGCAGGATAACGCGCCGTGTCATAAATCTGCCTACACTATGACATGGTTTCGAGAAAAGAACATTGAGCTTCTAGAGTGGCCTGTCCAGTCTCCGGACCTAAACCCCACAGAACATTTATGAGGTTTATTAAAGCGCACCGTCAGGCGCCACTCAATAAACACGATGGAAGAAATAAAACGCCGTCTGCGCCAAGAATGGAACGCTATACTTCCTGAAGACTGTAAAAATCTTGTTCGCTCTCTACCAAAAATAAATTCTGCCGTAATTAAGGCAAAGGGTGGACCTACAAAATATTGATTTTTATTGATTAAATAGTAATATTAACATGTATAAATTGTTTCAAATTATTCCATTTTCATATTCCCCAAAAAATAGTAAGTTATCATGGGTGCTCAATACTTTTGGCCAAGGCTGTAGCTTTCTTGCCACACTTGTCAATTGAATCCAAGGTGGCCTTCATCTTTTTAATGAGAGAGAAATTGCACCATAATTAGAAATCATGTTTTAGTTATGAAAAACATGAGTAAGAGATAAAATCATCATGTAAAAATAGAAATGCCATAACATCATAATGACTTGCAAAATCTTAAATGCAGAAAGCTCTAATAATGCCTAGTCATAACATTATCTTTGGTACATGGAGTTGATTATAATTATACCTTGCTCAGCTCAATCCGTAGCATTATACCATAAACTAAAGATACTTGAAATTGCCTTCGTCAAGGATCCAGAACCAAAAAAAAGGCAAGACACCTTATACTACATCAATATTCTAAGTGAACAGCTGTTAAATAAGATGGCATTTGAAAGCTGCAGCCGGCAGGCACATGAGACGTGACAATTTATGTCTCAGGGTCACGGGCGAAGTGACAGCATCCTTACAATATTTACGATTTAAAACTCTGAGTGGCACTGCAACTGTTATGGATAGGCACGTCGCTTATGGACCAGGTGCATGACTTGTTCACCCCGATACTTAGTATTAAAAAAGTACCTTTTAATGAAACCGGCATGTCAAACACTTTTAACAATCCGAAGTATGAAGAAAAGTCCACTCTAGAGGAGACTTGTGCGCAGCAGTCGGACATATAATGGGTTGGTAATAATTAATAAAAGTAGTTGCCAAATGAAAACCACTTACTTCACTAAATGTGACATAGTCTCCGTCCTCCAGTCCATGACGTGTATCATCTAAGCAAGTTACAACAGCCTCATACTCGTGTGTAATATCTGCAATCATTGCTGACACAGGATTCTCTCCAGTCACATCCACCACAGTGAACTCTGGCCCAAAGTCACAGAACACTTGTGAGAACAACCCACGAGTATCAGCTATGACCAAAGCTATGTTATTTGCATGTGTTATAGACGCGATCCTCTCCTGCTCCGACCACGAGGCCCCCGTCAGCACCACCACACGGAACTTCTTCAAAAAGTCCTCAGTCAGAGGTCCAGTATATGCAGTAGTAGGCACGTAGTGGTTCAACTCTGACAACTGCTCGCACGATGCCAGTGCCCTGTTTTGACCGATCGAATCTTCTGACAGGTAAAACTGAGATGACAGATCGGCCACGGTACATGTTCTCTCATCGTGCAGGGTCACCGACTTGACACCACCGAGGATCACATTCTTGGCAACCTCCACGCCGAGGCCCCCAAGCCCTGAGATGAGCACGTCCGAGGTGGCCATGCGCCGCATCGCATCGTGCCCCAGCACGTACAGCTGCCGCGAGTACAGGCTCTCGTCGATTTCATCTTCTACACGCGTCCCATTGTTCGCCATTGCTGAGGAATTGGAATGGGCTGCTCCTGTATTTAGCTTCCGCTTTTTCGCCGGGGGGTCAACGGAATTATCGGCGACTTCAGCACTAGACATCGGGCACGAACGCGCACAATTTTGCCAGAATTTTGCTTCGTTTTGTATGTCGACAAGCAAGAAATTAGTCTTCAAATGATGTAAAGCGACATTCGCGCTTCGTGCTTCGTCAATGCTCGCTTACTCACTGTCTTGAAGTTAGCTACAAGCGACGTGGAATCTGCGGAAGTGATTTTTTTAGGTTATTTTTTTTCAAAATTTTACTATTACGGTTGTTTATCGCAAGTGAATTGCAAATTATATAATTCTACACTTTTGCTTATACAATTTTACGATCCAAAGCACTATTTTCTTGTTAGTTTTGCAGTTTGTGGCACTTTCCGGGATTTTCGGTCTCAAGCGATTTTTTTTATTTGGTAACACTGTCTGTCGTTTTAAAAATACGATTATATTTGCCAACTTAAAAAAATAGAATTGATTTGAAAAATATTTTTATTGATACAAAAAACAATTGATTTTATTTGAAATTATTCTTATTATTATTTTTCGATTAATTTACAAAAATTGTGTAATTTTTGTAAATTTAGAGTAAAATAAGACAATCTACTTTATCTAATAGAAAAAGGATGTCATAAAATAGTAACACAATCAGCTGTCAATCAATTTCGTTTTGCTACTGACTTCAGTTAAAACAATCCAGTCAGTTTGCGAGTTTGTCCATTTTGTTTGATGGGTGAATTTCAAGTTCACGACAGACATTCGTTTATTTTGCAGTGCGCGAATTTGTTTAGTGAAAGGCGCTCAATAAGGGATACGTACTAGTGTTTTGTGAGCAATAGTATGCCCGTCGTGTGAGATTGACAAACCTAGGGGATTGTCGAATCCTTTTTATTTTGTAAATCGTTTTTTGTGATTTCGTAAACATGGTGCAGGAATTCAAGTCTCCCGTAAGGGTCCACAAGTTCCCCTTCGAGATGGTGATGGCTGTGAGTATTCTGGAATATTTTTTAGTTATAAAATTATGTACTTCAGAGACTTCTAGCACAATATGGCAATTGATTTGGACAGTAAAGTTGACTTGTGTCACATCGACTCACAGGTGTTTGGCGATTTGTTTGGAGTAGCTTACCATATAGTCAATAACAATAAATGCTAATACATAGTAGATATATGTTGATTAGCAATTTTTTCTCCATGTTTCGAAGCCTGTATTCTTGCTGTTTTTTGCATTTTTTGTTAAAAGGAAAACTAATAAAAAATTTCAAAATCTTTTATGTTCTGAGTTAGATACCTCAATACGTATAACATTAAATCATTATGTATGTCTTTCGAGTTGTTTGTAGTAAGAAGAAACACAAATAATAAAATATGTACAAACTTGTCTGAGAAAAACTTTACTCTGCATGTCTCTGTTACTTTGAATTGTTTTTGTATGTTTTGATGATAAAATGGGGGCAATTTTATGAATCATTTCCTCTGAGTTTGAATTCCTATTCCTTTTCTGAGGATGTTGTTAAGGTCACACAGTTGACATATTGAACCATGTTTTGTTTATTCCATTGCTATTTATCTTAACATTTTCAACTTTGCAGGTATCTATTTTTTTTTATGTTGGTATTTAACATCACTGTGAAAGAAGTTTGTAGAAAGTAAAAATGCATGAGATTCCTGAATTGACCTAACAATTATGTCTTGAAATAAATTTTTTATATTTTTTTTTACGTTAAGAAAATGTTCATTTTTTTCATTGACATTGAGTGCTAACATTTTTTTAAAACAATTTTTGACTTTGTATGTCATTATTATATTTTGTAAAGGTCATATACCCTTGAGTTAAGTACAACTCTCTAAATTTCCTTAATCAGCACTTGAGCAATGAGCATTAGTGCAATCATAGCCAAGGCCAGGGAAGTTGCCAATGCATACACTATTATACAGCAGATTGCCAGATTTTTGTATCCCTTTAAAAATAAACTATTTTTGTGCTGATTTTATTGACTTTCAAGTGCTTTGCCATATAAAAAACAAATTTTGATTATTAATCTTTTAGATCTAACGCGGAATTAGGGACTTGACATATTTTCAAAAAGTTTTGAACCTTTTGATGCATGTGTAGGAAGCTGGAGCTTGACTTCACTATATTTATATATTGGATCAAAATTTTTATACTGGTTTTAATATTTTGTAATTGTAATTATTATTGACATAGCTTGTGTACAAGATTAATAATTAATTAACTTATTATCATTGTAGTGCCCTTGCAGGGCTTGTGTGCTGGAATACTATAACATGAGCATTAATGCGCTTTGGTTTTGAAGGATACTGGTGAAATTACAGTCACATGGGACTTGTCTACATTATGTCTTAGGGTGGTGGGTAACAATGACAACAATCCTCAGGTCTTTGCAATTTACAACTCTGAGTCAATGGCACCAGGCACATTGCTCGTTCATCCCATCACTCGTTATTTAAAAAAAAAGATAGGTTTATTGTAAAACACTAACAGGTACAAAGTTGTGCCTATCTCCCATACTAGAATCCCCAGTACTTTGGGGAGCTAGGTCTTGCGCCCGTCACAGTTTTTGTCATAAAACAACAATAACATGTGTATAAACTGTGGTAGGTAGAACACAAAAATTATGTGGTTTAAATTTTAACTTTGTAGTTACATCAAGTCACACAGTTATACTGAAATACACATAATGAAATAACGTGATTTGAAAAGTAATTATTTAGAAACTGATAAAATAAATTAAAAATCTGGGCCTTACATGCCGTTCCGTTATTCAAATGTGGAAAATTCTATTTCAAGTGAAAAACGATACAGCTTTTTCGTAAACTTTAAAAAAATATAATAAATAATAAATAAATAAATAAATGAATAACGCACACACTCAACATAGCCCCGCACTAGGGAAACCCTGTGTCGCGGGTGCCATGGACACACATATAGACAGCCACAAATTACACCCAAACTCACGAGAGAAATAAATGTAGGCCATACAAACATTTCTCCCGGCCCGGGAATCGAACCTGGGACCTCTGCGTGGCAGTCCGGCATGGTAACCGTTCGGCTACGGAGGCAGTTAAGTTAATATTTTGTCAGTTCCCAAAAACGTTAGTTTTCGTCACTTTGAGGGTGTGAAATGTAGTTGTAAATGGCTTGTGTTTGTGGAAATCAGCAATAGTATTATAATGTTCCTGGAGTTTTTTTTAGCATACTCCAAAGTCTATAATAACAGCAGCAGTAGAGCTCCTTATAAAAGAGTTCATCCAGGGAAGTACTGCCACCTTATGTATTTCCGCCGCCAAGCAGTACTGTGAGCATTACTATGTTCCGGTTTAGAAGGGTAAGGGTGCTGGTGAGATTACAGGCACATGGGACTTGTCAACTTATGTCTCAAGGTGACGGGCGCAGTGGTACTGTTCCTCAGGACTTTGCAATTTAAAGCTCTGAGTGGACCTGTAACCGTTATGGACAGGCGTGTAGCTTAACGTCAGGCGTACGACTTGTTCGTCCCGTCACTTGATGTTATAAAAAAAACATAATCATTATGATTGTTGATTACCATCATCCAAAGAATCTCGTATTAGCATAACACCATTAACACCTGTTTGACTTACATATAAAATGTTTTTATACACATAGTTATTGAAATCATTCTATCGCATAAAGCTATCTGATCTTAAAGTGCTTTTCCACCAGTGAGGCGAGACGAGACGAGGCGAGGCGGGAATTGAAATCTCGCCGACCTATTTCCACCAAAAATTGCCATCGCGAGCGCGCGCGGTCTCGCGCTAGGGTTATGGATAGTGAAGACACAGTGCTGTTCCATAAAGTACCATGGCCCGCAAATTCTTATTATTAAATATGTTAACGGAAGAAGAATCAGATGAAGATAGTGTAAGAAGAAATAATCATGTTGTATAATAATAATAACGCACACACTCAACATAGCCCCGCACTAGGGAAACCCTGTGTCGCGGGTACCATGGACACACACGTAGACAACCACAAATTACACCAAAACTCACGAGAGAAATAAATGTAGGCCATACAAATATTTCTCCCGGCCCGGGAATCGAACCTGGGACCTCTGCGTGGCAGTCCGGCATGGTAACCGTTCGGCTACTGAGGCAGTGTAATATAAGCTGTTTGTACCTTCTAAGATAAAATAAATAAATATAAAAAGAACTTTTTCGAAAATAACTTTTTTTTATATAATCTTTTATCCCAGGGCAATTATTACGAACTAACAAAATACACATAAAAATTTACAACTGGCGCTGGTATGTTTACATTATATTGCTACTATATTGTGTATATGTATATATTTTTGAAAACGATGCAATGTTTTAAAAGTGGTTACATAATTATGATAAAATCACAGTCCTAATCGTGTACATTTTAATGCAATTTTAAATATATAACATGCATTGTATAAATATTTTCGAAAATGATTTGGATACATGTATGACACTAGGACTATATATTTTTCATTGACTGTAGTTTGTTTATTTTTCTCTGAAATAAAAGTATATCTTTTTTAAAATGGAGTCGTCATTACATATTTTTGAAAACAGCACAAGGTACATTTTTTGAAATATGTAATATTTACATAATTTCGAAAATGTGGAACGTTCACATTTCAATGCACGCGACTGTATCCTACAATCTCACGCGAGCGCGATATCGTACGAGACATCTTAAATCGTGTTTCCGTTGCAGAGTTAATAAAGAGTCTATGTAGGCAGCAATACGGTTCACTGTTACATCAACAAATATTTCAAATCCCGTCTCGCCCATTCTCGTCAATCCCGACCATTTCGAAGATGCGCGAGGAGAGAATTGATATTTTGCCATACAAGTTTTAAAAATCGTCTCGCCTCGCCGGTGGAAATACACCGTTAGACTTGCGTGATTTATCTGTCACGTGACGACGCGTGTGTTCATGCGCTTGCGCACTGCTGTCACGGCATGGAGGCGAGAATGCACCCGTGTTTAAGCGGCATACAAAATTGAATATTACCATGAGGTATTTCATGAAATTTATCGATATCTTTAGTTATAAGTCCAAGGAAGTACTGCCACCTTACTTATTTCTGCCGCCAAGCAGTAATGGAGTTCCAGGTTTGAAGAGTTAGGGTACTGGTCAAATTACAGGCAAATGGGACTAATCAACAACGCAGTGGCAGAAAGCATTATTGTCTTCCTTTATACATTTTGACATTGGTACGTGTATGAATTTAAGTTCTTTATTACAGTAATCTGGCTCTATACACTCGTTCTCCGGCTGACATTATGTCCGAAACAATTACTTTGAAATGAGTAATATTCGACCAAATTACAAGACGTATGATGCGAATTAAGCTTCATACTTGACATTGTTTATTGATTTGGTCGACTAATATTTATTCGATAGTAACGTCGAAGAATTGTCCAGTAATTGTATCGGACGGAGAACGGAGTAGTTCCCCCCCTGATTCGACAGGTCGCAAATTAACTTAAAACAGCTGTTTCCGAGTCGGTTTACATGACCTGAAAGGAATCTCATCTACTCATTCTCAGCGACTCACGAGGCTATTTATACAGATTGAGTCATAAAAAACATAAAAGAAATGGACCGTGATTATTTACGACTCGGGGGTTGTTTTTATACTGTGGGTAATTTTGAGGAATAACGATTATTATCTGGTATCATTTTCATCGGCATCACTCTCGCTGTGTTAGTAAAGCCACTGAAATAAAAGCGCCTTGCTAATACGGTTGCTAATGGAATAAAACTAGGAGTGAACATTAGATACACCTAATATGGTTCGAGTTAATGTTATCTGGCCACAGTTATGATATTCATTGGGGAAAAAAGTCTCAAAAGTTAACAAATTTTTACTTCTGGCGCAATTTTTCATAACTTTCAAGGTTCTATTATAATTCATTTGACTTCATCGTCGGTGTGATTACTACAACAATTTACGAAACAAAATA